CATTGTAGAAGGTTGTAAATGCAGCTCTCCCGCGGGTCCTTAAAAACTCCTAAAGTGAGTTGTATCAAACTTAAGGCCATAAAAAGTTTTAAATATGTTAAATGGTATAAGAAATGTCTTAATTATAATTTCAAGAGGTCTTACAGTTGGGGACAGAAAGACAAGAGTCGCGATACGGCTGGATTAAACTTCAAAAGGCAATGATGTCATTGAATAAATATGAGCGCTGCACGTTTCAAGTCAAAACGCGACGCGGATGTCTTTATTTAAATGTATCTGAAAGGAACCGACTGTCCTCAGAAACGTGTCGTTGGCATTTTAATTTCATTTTACCTATAATTCCTGATAAAGCAGCGTTTATGAGCACGGAGCTGCTTTGTGTGCAGCCGTTACCGGGGAATCCGCAATATTTCAGCGCTCCTAAAGCGCCACCTTGTGGCAGAGAATTAATTTGCATTTCCAGTAAGCCTTTCTTTGTGATTATAATACAAAATAGCAAATATCAACTCATGTTTTTACGCAGCGAACACAGAGTTGTAAATGAGAAGGAAGTTAATGTGCCTTCTAAAAATCTAAACAATTAAGACGGTAATATTTATACATTTTAAATTTACATAATTTATATGCTTGATTTATCCCTTTTCATAAAAATCTGTCTAAAGGCTGAAATGCTGTTGTATTAGATTTTTTTAATGCGCATCTTGTCAGAAAGCCGGTTCTGTAAGCAGCGGTAAATCTCCATCATGTGCGTGCTTTCACATTGAGCAGCATTAACTACATGAGCTGGTCAAAAAATCGCGCAAATATGAATGTGGTTTTGGGCAGCTCGTCAGTGAACAACGGCTCCGTGTAATTAATTCTGCTCAATGTGAAAGCCCGCACGTGATGGAGATTTACCGCTGATTACAGAACCGGCTTTACTGATAAGATGCGCGTTAAATATCGCATGTGATTTATCGTGCAGCCCTAATCTGAACTGTAAATCATGTAATTTTATGGCTCAGTACTGTATGTTACCATAGACATTGTCCAACCCCACTTATACTGTTCATTTAACTTGTGTAGCTCTTAAAATGGGTCATAAATTGCCTTAAATTTATTTTTAAAAATTCTGTAGATACCCTGTAAATGGTGAAATAAAATTCCTTCCTTCATATTTGTTTATATTTGTGTATTGAAAAAAATTGATTGACATTTTAAACTCCTATCTGAATTTCTATATTTAAAAAAAAAAAGGTATTTTTTTATTTGGGCTAGTTCAATTTTCGGGCTACCAAAATCTGAAGAGAACCTGCCCGAAGGGCTACCAGGGATTTTGACATTTTGCAAGCCTTGTTAAAGATGCATTTCTTTCTAAAGGCGCGTCCAATGATGAGATGGCGAGTCAGGATCATCAACTTAATTGCGACACTGACTCATAAAACACTAGTTTATTAATGATAAATAATTCAAATATCTCATTACTATTTTTATCCCAACATAGTCATGGTCATTTTTGCGGCAAGCTTTAGCCTATTTAGCGCACTCGCGTCACGTTGCTGTGCGCCATGGTCATGAAAACTCATCATTTGCATGTGTTTTTAAGCATTGTGGTTTAAAAACTAGTGATTTAAGCCATTGAAATGCAAATAACAGCACTATAACAGTGTCTGTTTCTGAGCCTGATTTCTGCAATTGGGTCGGATCGAGGTCGGGTCATATTCACACCTTAAACGAACCGTACCAGAGTTTGTTTGGAAGCGGACCGAGACCACCTCTTCAGCTGGGTCTCAGTACGGTTGTTTGGTCCGCACCCGAGTGTGATTGCTGTATTCACACCTGCCAAAAATGTCCGTATCAAGAGGGGAAACGAACTTGAGTTTGATTCAATCGAACCAAACAAGACAGGTGTGAATACACCCTAATACTATTCAGGTACAGAAATTGAATAATCAAATGTAAAATAACACTACATAGTCTTCACTGTATAAATTCAATCTAATAAATCTGTGTTAAAGCTACAAAAGTGTTTTGTTGTTTGATCAACATTCATGACACCGAAAGCCTCCGGAAATTTAAACTGCTGTGAACCAATATACTGTTACACATCCATTTTCTTTCTCACTTGTTTACCTTCACCTAAGCCATAAGCAACTGTGTTTACAAGGATACTTGCAGAAACATGCATTTTGACAATTTCGCGCGTATGTGTCATTTCAGGCACAAATAGACGCGGAAGTGAATGGAAGTCGGTGTTCACGTGCATCTGCGTGGCTCTCACCGTGTACACCAGACATGAGCGGCGTGACAAAATACTATAGAACCCATTATAATCAGTGATGCCGTCTACACTGGATGCGGCGTGACACGACAAATCCCCCACAGCCTCGTTTAATTTGACGAACTGACACAAAGTTCAAATGATTTGCAGCGGTCACTTTTCGCGTTCAGTATAGACAGACTTTAGCTGTTGCACGCGGAGCGTGTCACGTCCGGTGTATTCCAAGAAAATGATCAGTATAAATTTAACGATCAGTAAACATCGCACATCCCGCGATGTCGATGCTGAAACGATATATCATGCAGCCCTAGTTTGAATTTGTCAAACTAATTCACCATGTTGACCAACAGAAAGCTGTTTGGTTTGAAAGTGAGTTTGAGCTGTGCTTTAAACATCACTAAACTATTGGCAACAGACTAGTGGTCGACCGATATGGGGTTTTTTTGACTGCCGATATCTTGGAAAGCAGGGTGGCCGATATAAAGCCGATATCATTTTATTTTAATTTATATTTAAGAAATTTGAAATAATTTGAAAATGGATTAAAAATAATTGTGTAAAATAAACATACTTATACTTTAGAAGACAAAGCATTTTCACAAATAAATAAATATTTAATTAAAATTTAATTAAAAAGAAAGTAAACACTGTAACCAACAGTGCACACGGTATTCTGGGAAGTTTGTGTGCATTGGGAATCATATATATATATTTTTTTCAAATAAAGCCAAGGTAGCACTCATTTTACATACAGCACACAATGAAAATGACACGAATATGACCGTGGGCAAATGCATAAAGCACAGCATAATTTGAAATCACTAGTTTAAAGTTTGTATATCGCGTGATTCCAGTGAAGCTGAACTCTCCACCTGTCTGCATTAAATTTGCACGGACCGACCGTCACGCAGAAAACTTGCGATCATGCAGGATACAAATGCACACCTCACAAGATCTCAACTAGATTCGATTAAGACGGTAAGGTTTGTGAAATTAAATGTTCATTAGTCATTCAAAGGTTTGTTCAAATGATTTCAATGTGTATTTGCTGAATGCTGACAGCAAATGAGAAAGTATTATAATGTTTGCCTTTCTGTTAATAATAATATTAAAGCAATTGTTATAATACTTTTTGTATACATTTTAATTCCTTTGTTTAACAGTTCTATCTGATTATTAGATAGACTTCTATCCATATTAGACAGAACTGAACGATGACCGTGAACATGAGGGGGGATGTGACCAGTGTGTGCTCAGCGCCGTCAAAATAAAAGTCCTGCCTCGAACACATCGGCCAAACAGAAAAACTTATCGGCCAATGCCGATATTTGAAAAATGCCAAATTGGCCTTGATGATATGTCGGTCATTTTATTAAAAGATTTGTGTATGGACAACAGTATTGTCAAAACAATTCCCATTCACGTGGAACCGTGAAAACAATTTAAAAATACTATTATTCATGCCAGGCCAGTAGGTGGCGATGTCACTTTATAAATAAACACTATGCACCTACACACACAGCTTGTAGACTGAACACGAAATATGCATGCTTCATGGATTTAACAAATTCATGGTTTTATAGTTTAAAAACAGAAAAACATAGTTCAAAAACTAAAAACCTGTTTTAAAAAGTTTGTATTTGCAGGCCCCCAAAATGTCATTGTCGCTTAAATGTATGGCTAAAATGTAATGCCAATTTTTACTGGAAAACAGTGTCATGTAAACACCCACTAAAATGTAGCTAAATGCATTAAAGCTAATATAAATGGCAGTATATTTTAAATATATATCAGACTATCAATTTATGTAGTATATATTATGAAACGGCTAAATTTGCTATTTATTTTAGTTTTTTAATAAATGGACTTGAGGTTGACATCATTAAGCTTGAACGGATACATTTTAAATAACTATTAAATACAACAATTAAACTAGAAAACACAGTTTATAAAACCCACAGCATTTAGCTAAATATTTCAATGGAAAAAAATATGTGAATTATTGATTTGAATCTTCTGATTAAGTTGATTCACTAAAATAAATTGGACTTCCGAATGCAACATATGAGAGAGACATTCCATAAGATCCATTATTTCCTGAGCTTACTTGTTTCACGTCTGTTTTTAGTTTTTTTTTGTCATGCTATATCGCTAATCAGAGGCTACAAATGCTAGGAAAACACAAAGAGTACTGCCAAAGTATATTGCTATTGCTACCATCCACTATACTGCTGAGAATTTGGGCAGTACGTGAGGAAAAACACGCAGTCATTGCAGTAGTAGAGTTCTATTTAAGTGAGTCGGTGAAAGAGGTAATCTTATTATGCCTCGGGGGGACGTTTTTTCCAGTTAGGTATTGAATTGTGTATAACTTCTCCTCCTCTCTGTCTTTGCATTATTTCTGTCCCGAGAACAAAAACTCAAACCGACTTTGACTTTGACCTCTTGTTTGGTTATAAAATATGTACTTAAAGAAGAACGCTGCTTGGTCTCATGTTTTCACAAAAACTCTGAAAGTGGTGGTTCACCTACTAATTTCTTTCACCACAGACACTGAAATCTCTTTAAAAAGGTTTAGAAATACAGTCTGTGTCAGTGTCTCTTGGCCCATGGACCACAGGATGCTGTCTGTCAGTGAAAGTGCTCAATGTCAGTATCTTCTGTAGACAGTGAATGTGGTCCATGAATAATTGAGCTTTTGCTTGTTGACTGCAGTCTGACTGGTTTCATCTTTGTGTAGGTATTCGCTCCTGGAACGTCGACTTGACCGCCTGCAACATAGATGAACAGCTAAAGCTGTTTATTTCAAGACACTCTGCTTTCTTCTCTGAAGACCTCAAAGGTAAGAATAAAAAAATCTACATATGAACTATTTGCTCTTGTCTATTTTTTATTTTTTTTTGCATTTTCTTTTTGGAGGGAGATCTGTGAAATTGTGTGGGATTTATTTAAATGTTTATCTGAGAGTATTATACGGAGACCCTAAAGGGACATAGTGATGGAAAGGTATTATAGGATAAAAGGATCAAATTATAGGCTATTCCAATGATTTTGCATTCTCTCTTTTCGTAAAAATTTTCTTTAAGAAATGTTGCATTCCCTTACAAAACTTTCTTTGTGAGTGAACACAAAGTTTCTTGGGTGAAATGCAAACGTTTTGCCAGTGAATGTAAAGTTTCTTGGGTGAAATGCAAACGTTTTGCCAGTGAATGTAAAGTTTCTTGGGTGAAATGCAAACGTTTTGCCAGTGAATTTAAAGTTTCTTGGGTGAAATGCAAACGTTTTGCAAGTGAATGTAAAGTTTCTTGGGTGAAATGCAAACGTTTTGCAAGTGAACGTAAAGTTTCTTGGGTGAAATGCAAACGTTTTGCAAGTGAACGCAACGTTTCTTGGGTGAAATGCAAACGTTTTGCAAGTGAACACAACATTTTTTTGGGAGAATGCAAAATATTTTACAAGTGATTTTGCATTTCTTTAAGAAATGTTGTTCCCTAGCAAAACTAACATGTCCTTAATGCACAAAGAAGTCCCTTCCAGTCAGGCTTCAGACTGGAGTAAGGCAGAAAAGACCGGCAGCTGATAGAACAGCTGAAATTCTCCAGGCCTAAATCATCTTTACCACTTTATATTAAACCTGTGCCGCCCAAGGGAGTCCTCAGAACCCTGTTAAATGTGTCTTGTATATTCTTCTCTTTTATCTCAAAGGCACAGTGATGTGCATAAGTGATGTATTGATGCTGAGTGTGAGTGATCATTGGCTGGTCTGATTCTTCTCTGACTTCAGCAGTGGAGAAATAATTGAAATCTATATTTTTGTTATGGATACTAGATATAAAAATCCTTTGTCTGGTGGATTTTCAGCAGTGGATTAATAGATACTGTCATGATAGGTTAATTAACTTGTGTTAGTGAAGTGTGGTTAACACGCAAATTAAACCGTCAGGCTATAGTTTGCAGTTCACCTGTCACCTGCGTGTCAGCTTTGCTGAAGTAGTTCAGGATAGACAGTATTTGTCTTGTATGCATGGTCATACAGTGAGGGTTAAATCCGCAGTGGCTTTTCATTTTTAGCGACCAGCTGCTGCCATCCTGGCTGTGAGCAATTAACGGTTTCAAAGTGGATCTGTACTGGCTAGTGACTTTGTTGAGGTGCTTACAGCACATCATGTTTTCTTTGAGAGATTGATCACTTTCCGATCACTTCCGATAAGTTTTGAAGGTTTGGACTTGTAGAATTTTAGCATTTATTATACTATTATAGCATGTATTCACTGAAAGGCAGTAATACAAAAGCAAAGTTTTTGTATTTTTTTTTAAATGGTTTTTAGCCACTTTTTTCTTATTTTTTTCTTTTTAGATTGATATTAGGTCTGTCGTGATTCGTTGATTTTTATTTTACTATTCGATTTTAAAAAATTCTCCCAACTTCATTTTGCTTGTGTCGACTAACCGGCAAAATACGTGGTGCATTTCACAGACGAGAATGTATAAAACACATTATTAGACTGTTTCCCAAGGCTGCATGATATATTAAACTCATTTAAAATCATAATTAAGCATAATTGCGAATTCACAAACGCTACAATTTAATAAAATAATTATATGCGATGCAGTTCTAATACAGTATATGAGCCTTAATTATTTACATGCGTGTAGGTTAAGTACGTGCGTCACACAGCGGCTCCGTTCACAGTAGTTCCACAGGAACTGTTATCATTTACACGTGTGGAGCGTCTCAAACTCCATCTCTGCATGTTGTTGTGAGTTTGGGTTTATTATAATGTTCATCTGGGAATGCAACGTGTGCCATTTCATCAGATTTGTAAGGTAAATAATTTATAAATCTACGCAAACTCAGGAGAATGCATCGCGGTTTCAAAATAAAAGCTCAGGCCCTCACTCTGAGTTTACATGTTTTGATGTCCACATATTCATTTAATTACAGTGACTATAGCATTTCTGTCATAAAGAAATGGCCAAATATTAAAGATTAAGTAGACATTTGAATGAAATGGTGCTTGGTCAGTATTAAACCAAGATTAGCTCGCACAGCAATGTGTAAAAACAATTGTCAGGCCGTTGGCGCCCCTCCAGGCCTTTGTTGTAATGCGTAATGTACATTAGCTATTGTTTATAATACATTATGTATTTTAACAGTTTCGTTCAATAAAACCATATGATTTCTTGCCTTTGATACTTTATTTGAACTAATTATTATTGCCTCATTGCTATTATATATGTATTTTAAGTCATTTTAAAGGCTGTTTTTCACGTACATGTATTTTTATTACCACAAAAAAATTTATTATAATTATAGGGCAAGTTTTTGTACTTATTTTACTGTTTTTTTTTCGGGATCTACTGGGATAGTGATAAAGATCTACTAGTCGATCGCAATCGACGGGTTGGTGACCACTGCTTTAGAGAAAAGTATTATCTTTCCTATTTTTTCCCAAAATAGGGTGTTGTGAGTATTACGGAGTACACACTTAATGTAATGACTGTTTAATTCATACTGGAAGCCGGAGGGTGCCCTTGCGCAGAAACTCCACATATGCATAGTAGAAGTAATGCTCCAGGAAGAAGTATCCAGTGATCGCTGTAGCTGAATAAAACGCGGATAGAGAAATTTTAATTGAGGAAACCTGAAGACAATAAACATGCGATTGCACAAAATATATGGTATTTGTGTTCTTCAAGCAATCTTGGGTATTTTTTATAAGGATAAAGTATATTTATAATGCAATGCTAATCGACATAGCCTTTATCATGGTATATAATGCTATAAAATAGTAGGATTTCTGCCTTATTCTGTGATGCGAAACCACGTCTGATCACAAAAATAAGTTATTTCAAACACTCGACTGTTATGAAGTTAATATGGAGAAAAAGCATGTCAATAAATTAAAATATCTTTGTTGGACAACAGGTTTGTAAACGACTCATACACATGTAAAACTGTGTCGCACACGTGCTACTGTTGTACATTTACTCAAGGCTCAGACTGATTTTTGTGGCACTGTACAGCCCTATCCAAACCTGTTCTAGATTGTAGAAGGAGCTGCTCAATTTCACGTCCGCCTTCCTTCACGTCACTCCACACAGTCGCACACAGAAATATGTCAACAACTAGACTTTATCGTTATTATCGCGGGAAGACGAATTCTTATTGTGTGGAGAATTCTTACCGGTATATCGCAAACAATAAGATATCGCCCATCCATAGTGGCAGCCCTAATTGATATATTTCTAAATATAGTTATATATAATTGAATTGAATTTCACGTCGATAAAGACCCAAATAAAAAGCAAAAAAATCCCGTATTTCTATGTAATTGTTCTTACAGGCTTCCATACAGTGCAAAAGTGAAGCCTTTGGTCATAAGATGATAGTTAAATAAGAATAAGATAAGATTTGGTTCATAATATCTCCTATCCTGACTTGATGTGAAGTAGACTATCTGATCTGAACTTCCCCTCAGGCTCAAACTGTTCTCTTCATGAGCGTCACCTCATAGAGGAGTCCTCTCAAAGACCCGTCTGTGACTGTAAATGTCTCTGTGCCCAGAACAACACTGCCTTTCAGTGTGTGTTGCTTAAGAATTAATATTTTTGTGCTTTTAAAATCACAGGGAGCTCAAACTCTCAGTGTTTTGATTTGCCTTGTACAATGAAGGCACTGTGTTGAAGCAGCAGAGTTTGGATATGATTGGGAAGAAGTTCCCAAAAGTTCTCTATCAGTCTTCCACCCATAGGGAAATGTGGAATTCAGTCATAAAATTTACATACATTTATAGATTTACCTTTCACTGCAGGTCATATTCTGTACTTAACTGTTCATGTGACAAATCTCGAATCTGGAATCAAATGGAATTTTCAATATAACGCAGTATGTCATGGAATTTGGTGAATTTGGAATAAATAAAAAGTTGGGCTGTACACTTCAGAGCGATATGGATCAGTGTCGATGAATATTAAAGCGCAAAAACATTTTATTGTATTTGATTTAAAATTGTCGTCATACATGCAGAAACTCAATGTTCTTTGTGACAAAACATCAAAATAAAAGTTTGGTTTAACTTGTAATTGTCAAATGTATTACTACTGCACAGTACAATGTACTTTTCAAAGTAATAATAATACAATTATTCATTTATTTTATTTTAAGGAATACCATTTTTTTCTTCCATATTTTAACCGTAAACCTCCTGCACAAAATTTTTTTTTTTTTAGTTGGTTACATTTGAAAAGTTTTGTCTTAATTTTTGCCACCATGTTCAATAATAAAATTGTATTAAAGGGGTCATATAATGTTGCTAAAAATAACATTATTTTGTGTATTTGGTGTAATGAAATGTGTTTACGCGGTTTAAGGTTAAAAAAACACTATTTTCTACATACTGTACGTTATTGTTTCTCCTCTATGCCCCGCCTTTCTGAAAAGTGTCGATTTTTACAAAGCTCATCGGTCTGAAAAGCGAGGTGTGCTGTGATTGGCCAGCTATCCAGAGCGTTGTGATTGGCGAATACCTCAAGCGTGTGATGGAAATGTTTCGCCCCTCACCATACTGTGATGCCCTGTCCAGCCAAAGCCATGATTCAAAAACATTAAAACCCATTATAAATGAGCCATTTGTTGCATCCAGTGGGGACATGATTACGGATTATAATGACTTCTACTGTCTTTTTACGCGTTGCGTTGCATCGCGCCGCGTAAACATAAAACCCTGTCTGCATTTGTGATTGGAGAAATTACAAACAACAAACGCTACTCTACACTGCTCAAAACTCACGTTTGAATCGTCAGTGGTAAATTCTTCAAATATAAAAAAACGTACTTAC